TTGACTTTTAACTGTGGCATTCAATAATTTTTGCAGTTGATGTTTTCACTTTGCTATCTCTGTAATGGTGCCCAGCCATGGGATAAGGAGTTTGAATCCATTAACATTTAATTCACCATCCATCTTTTCAGTTCTTGGTAACATGTTTCTGCTGTAACAGCACTTCTAAGAGAAAATTAGCTGGTTACATCAAACCAATGTTAAGAATTACCTGAAAGTACTTAAAGGAGACATATTATGTCCCTTTTTACAATATGCAATATAAGTCTCTGGTGTCCCCAGAACGTGTCTGTGAAGTTTCAGCTCAAAATACTCCACAGATCATTTATTATAGCATTTTGAAAATGCCTATTTTGAGTGGAAGCAGAAACACGCTGTTTTTCAGGGCTGTTTCTTTAAATGCAAGTGAGCTGCTGCTCCCCACCCCCTTTTCCAGAATAGAGCTGCACCATTACAGCTTGGACCTGCTAAAAACATCTGTTTTGGTTATGATTATCATGTTTATCGTGCTGAAATCATACGTTTTAAACCATATGGGTTTAAACTTCTGATATACGGTTTTCTGAGTGCACACATCTAAAGCACACGGACAGAAAGCGGCTGTCACAGCATGTGAGTATTAAACTAAGTTCTCATTCACACACAAGTTTACGTTAAAAACACACACAAGTTACAAAAACAGTCTGTTGTGTCTTTGAAGGTAAACAGCTGGGAAATAAATTACATGTTTATTTTAGATCTGTGTGGCAGCAGCAATATACAGAAAATAAATCAATAAATCCGCTGCTCTCTTGTCTCCTCTGAGGCTGGGACTCTAAAAAGTGTTCTGTGCTCGTCTGTGCAGCCAAAGACTGAACAGTTAGCCTGTTTTGCTCAAACTTTTGCCATGGCATTAGTGCTCGTACACCGTTGTCGCTTGCAAAATCAAAATGACGGCGCTGTGGGTGAAAATTTACAGATTAAGGTGCGATAATATTATAATGAGATCCCTTTGCCACGTCACCAAGGGAGCGAAATCAGACGCGCTCGTTTTCTCAGACGCTTGCAGAAAAAGGCTTACCAAAAACAGTTACTGGGTTAATCTTTTTCACGTTTCCTTGGTTGATATATGCACCAGGGACCTGATTATAGCAATTAAAACCTGGAAAAGTCAGATTTTCATGTCACCTTTAACTAACAATACCTTTAGCAAATTGTCCAGTAATATTACAGTAGTTAAGTTGTTTTTAAAATAATGTAGCATTTCCAGTACACTCTTAAAAATTCATCTGTGTTTCCATGAACCTTTAACATCCATTGCACAAATGGTTGTTTATAGTGGAAATAGGTTCTTTAAATTATTAAAATGTTCTTAATATTTTAATAATCTAATAATCTAAAGGTGCCTTTATTTGTAAGCGTGTGACAAGTTGTTGTTTTTTTCCTCCCCCACATGATTTTTTCTCTCCCAAACCAGTTAAGTGCAAACCCTGCCACATAGCCTTAAGTCTGATTTTGGTTTATGGAACCAGTTCACTGATTTGAGATCCTGTGTGGCATTTTGGACCTTTAAGTTATCAATTTAGACAATTATATGTTTAGGTGTAAAGCTACATATTAATCTACATGTTTAAAACATAGCTTTCCCAACATTGCACCAAACTTTTTCAAAATATATTTAAAACTAATCATTGATTATTGACATTCAGGACAATCAGATCTTAAGGTGTTTCTAGTATCTTGCAGTTGCAATGTTGTCTTCACAACTAATGAAAGTGATTTAAACTTCAGACTGTACTGAATAAATATGAACTGGAGTTTCTGTAAATGGAGACATCTGTACACTAGTGGCTTTGAGCTGATGTAAACAGGCAAGGCTTTCTGCAATGATATGTGAATAGGTAAATACAGAGAGGTTTCAGATAATATACCGAATATATATCCAATAAATATAATGCCAGTTTACATTTTAAATGTACCTTTTTGTAATTTATGAAAAAAATTAAATAATAATAATAATAATAATATTATCTGACACCCATTAAGCAGATGCATATTAAAGAGACACATTTGAAAGTGTGTATCACTTGGAAGGCATCACAGGTTTTATGTATCAAATTTTCCCACAAATATCAAATAAACATTTAATATTTTTTTTCCCACACAACACAGTAATACACAATATTCCATTCTCTCTGTAACCTTCAGAACTACAGAACAAAAGGGGCCATTTTTTTCCAAGGCACATTTAAGAGTCTTATGCATCACCTTCCTCACATTTGAACTGAGTAATAACACTTACTCATGGGTTGCAGGTTTGCTGTTGGGACCAAAACAGAAGCTGGCACTGCTCCATCCTTTAGTACATTGTGGCAGGTCCACGATGCAATCCATGCTCAAATATGCAACAAAATCTCTAGTGGGTGGACTGAAATTATCAGGGATTTTATGAAACATAAGCTATACAAGCTATAGACACTAATAATAATAATAATAATCCTGGAAAAAACTGTATAATGGTTTCCATGCTTTTTTTTTTTGCTTCAACTGCAAGGATGTATGGTATATCATAGCTGTGAGACTATAACTGTGCCAAGCTCAGCTGAAAATTAAAACTTACATACTTTGAACACGATGAGACAAATTTTCATATTTTCATATACATTTTCAATATATTTTCACAATGTATTGACTGGAATTTCTCCCAACATCTGTGCCATAGAACAGACACATCAGTGTGGTCTTTGATCCACCTCATATAGCACATCAAAGCAGGGCTCAAATTAAAAGCTGTATTTGCCATCCCCACCTTGGCTCTTTCTAGCTCAGAGAGAGTCAGAATCTATTCAATGTGCTCTCATCTCCAGCACTTATCCACGGTGACACTTATCCTGAAACTGCATGCTATACATACAATAGAGGACTTGTATGTGAAAATTAAGGAATTTTGTCACACAAAGAGAGTGAAATGTGTGGATCTGTATGAATTACACTGCATGTAGCTGGAGAAATCATACACACACGATTTGAAGTAACATTTTTTTTTCAATTTTACATTCAGATTGTTCATATCAATGCAATATTAGTTATTATCCTCATATATATTAGGCTAGAAATGTACAACTTTGATATATTATAAAGTATGTGTCACTTACAATGCCATCAATGTATACATTCCCTGGGATTCGCCTAATGCTACAGGCTTTTTTTTTGTTATATAATATTTGGCTCATAATATCTGGCTTTGCACCAAAATACCATCCTGTACAAATACATATTTTAAATTGTAATTTTCCACTCTTTAGAACACACATATACAGTGCATACAGTATATTGTTTGATCGTTGTATACCATTTAAAAGTCTGGGGTTGGTATGATGTTTTATTGTGTTTGAAAGTCTTTTACATTTTTAAGGTTGCATTTATTGGATTAAAAATATAATAAAACAGTAATATTGTTAAATATTATTACAATGTAAATTTACTATTTTCTATTTGAATATACTGTATGTTAAAATATAATTTACTCCTGTGATGGCAAAGCTAAATAATCATTGGCCATTACTTCAATCGTAATTAACAGAAAGTTCTAAAGAACAACATTTATTTGAATAGAAATCTTTTGCAGCATTATACATTTCTTTATTGTCACATTTGATCAGATTAATACATCCTTGCTGAAGAAAAGTTTTAATTTACTTTAAAAAACAATAATAATAATAACCTTAAAATCCTACTTACCTCAAACTTTTAAATGGTAGTATATGTGAAATGTATGCAATTTTGCTATACAAAAGAGAGTGAAACATACGGATCTGAACGGAAGTTGGAGAAAATACTCAAACCCAAAACTGATGCAGTATTCTTCCAAATTTGTATTCAGATTTTACTAATATCACCTCTATATTATATATTACCCTAATTGTAATATTAGAGTTGTGTTAGAGAAATAATAATGAATTGTAAATTATTTCACTGAATATCAAATGGGTCATATAATACATTTTTCCCCCGAGGTCCATTTATAGTATTATTCAAACCTTTTGGCACCTAAACATAATTTAGTTTATAAATAATTTTTAAAATGATATTTTTTCTGAACATACGTCAGAAGTCTTATATGTGAAATGTATGATTTTCATTTTCAAAAAAATCCATATTTTATTTTCAGACGCTGAGATATTCTTTATTTATTTTTCATTTCTTTGAATACATTACTCTCTCTATGCTCTTTACTGCACGAAACTCCTACTTTTGTTGAGAAAGACTGCCAGCTCCACTGGATGATCTGATTTATGTGTTCAGCTGAACCATCTGACAGTTATATTTCAGAATCAGAATCAGAATCAGAAGAGCTTTATTACCAAGTATGTTTACACACACAAGGAATTTGACTTGACGACAGGAGCTTCCAGTGTTGAAGAAAGTACAAACATAGTGCAGACATACATGATAGTGTAGACATACATAGGAATAACACAGTAGGGATGTAATATAAAACTAATATAATAAAAAAAAATTAAAAAAAATTGAATAATGTACTATATACAGAAATAGAAGTATAGGAAAAAATTTAATTGTTTTTTCACTTATATGTGCGATGAAAACAACTGCCCCTACAAAAACCTTTGTAAGGCTGTTAGCATGTCACAGATATGCTTCGGCTTCCTGCCCTTTACCAATGTTTTCAGTCCAAGATTTAATTCTTGAAAGTCATCATGCCTGCTGTGTTAAACCCACTGTCCTCATTTCAATGCCCTGGTCTGTAGCCAACACTCCCCTCGCTCCCTCCTCCCAGTCAACTCCATCCCCAATCACAATCTTATGAATGGCAACCAATCAGAGCCTGCTTCCCTCTGCAAACTGCATCCTTGTCCAGCAGAGCAAGAAAGAAAGGATAGAGCAGGAGAGAGAGGGCTTTATGTGTGAGCGAGGAAGGGAGAGAGGCAGCTGGAGTCTCACACACAACTGTAGTCAGTCTTGGAATCTGAGCGCTGCCAAGAGGCGAGTACAGAAGCCAGCGTCGTACTTCCATGAGGATGACATGCTCTCAGAAGAGCACAGGAGTCTGTTTTGTTAAGGTAAGAGCCTTATGCATCTAACTCTTTAGATAACGCCAGCTAATCTGCTAATCATTGCAATTTCATTATTAGTTTGAAATTGTTGCTTTGGAACTGACAAGAGGCCAAACTCAAATATGAACCAACATACTTTGGAATGCTTCCTTCTGCATGGAATTACGTTTTTTCATGGTAACAACCTCAACAACCTCATCATGGATTGGAATTTTAATGTAATAGACTTGAATGACTTCTGCCCTTTGTCATAATGGCACAGACATGCCAGATCATTTAATCTTATTTGAAATGCCAGTCATCCGCTCTTTTATTTGGACATCTATCTATCTATCTATCTATCTATCTATCTATCTATCTATCTATCTATCTATCTATCTATCTATCTATCTATCTATCTATCTATCTATCTATGTATTATAATATTATACATTTATTTATATGTAAACAAAGTGTGACATTCTTCAAACCAATCCATGTCTAGTTTAACTTTACTACCCACAGGAGTCATGAGTGCAGCTAAAGTTTCTAAAATCCTCCCTCTATCCCTATCCGTTTAATTACACCATCGCTTTTTACAAGGAGGTGTGCACACAATTTGAGGTCTGCGTGCGTGTTTGATCTTTGACATACAACATATCACAGCTGACGAAGGGAAATTGCTTTCATGCACCACTGTCTCTGTTTGTGATCCTTAACCCAGGGTTTTAGCTAAAGCGCTGCAGATTCTGTAGTTGGCAAAGCTGTAACACTAAACCTGCATAAGCAGCACTCTGTGTTTGAAAGTGTTTGTGTAGGATATCAATGAGCGTTTTCCAGCTTCTGTGATGATTGTTTGTACCATTTGTGACTGCATAAGTTAAACGTAAGACTGTATGCAAATCACTTTGAGTGCTGTATTACCAATAAGGATATATTCTTGTCTGTGTACCTAAAACATAATTGCATATTGACTGTTTAAACCATTCTTAGACTTGAGTTTAGATCAGATTTGTCTAGCTGTGCTTCTGAACTCAACCAGTATATGCAAACTGTGATTTATACATCTGACATGAACACATAATGGCATGACTGTTTCACACAAATTAAAGTGCACACTTCCTCTGAGCTAGTGCCACATGTATAATTGCCTTTTAACACAGAGATAAATCATGAGATGAAGCCCCACATGCTTCCATTTAGGGAAGCTCTCTCTCTCTCTCTCTCCATTTCTGTCTTCTGATATCATTTCTCTCTATTTCTTTCTGCCTCAAAATGCGAGGCATTTTGCCTCATAATGAGGTGAAAGATCCAACCAATATGTTACTTTTCAGGGAGGTATTGAAATAACATTTACGTTGTGACCTGAGGAAGTGACCAATAAAAAAGCATTGTAGGAGGTCAAGGGACTGTTCATCTTGCATCCATCTGAATTCTAGTCGCCAGTTAAATCCCTAGCATTGTTATTGAGCATTTCCAGTATCCGTAACTGTGTACCACACAGCCCTCCCTTCCTCTTTGCCCTTCTCTGACAACACACATACTTTTTTTAATCAGACAAAACCTCCATCAGCTCCTGCCATTAGATCCTCAGAGCTACGCAAAACCAGAGAAAGTGTTCTGTCTAATAACTCAGGGTATAAATGATTGGCTTGAATCTGTGAACCTGGCAGAATCAAAGCCGATCCTCCAGGCAGGCAATCAACATGGTGCATATCTGATCTGTACCAAAGTTTCAAAACAAAGAAGACAGGGCATTAGTATTGTAAGGGAGAGGCCAGCTGTGAGAGCCATCCAGCATGAGGGATGGAGTGATGGGGAGATTCATACAGGGAAGAAAGGAGAGAAAAAGGTATTGGGCTCCCCCAAGTGGTAACTGTTGCATCTGTGGCTTGTTGTTGGTGTCAAATGCTAAAGTAATGGATATAAGAGTGTCTTCAGTGCCTTAAACGTAAATGTTACTCACTAGAGCTTAAACATATGCAGCTATGTAGGAGATGTAAGCTGCTGTACATATGGCAAGGATGGTCATGGACACAGAAGTCTGCATTAGATTTGCATATGCAGCTGGATAGCATCAGAATTCAGGCAAAATGGGAAAAAAGGGGGAAAAAATATATTATATGTCATTACGGAGCCCAGATTTGGTTCCATGATAGCTTAGATACAAGGATTAAGTGTACTTGACTCAGAGCTGCGGGCATTAATGATAATTATCTAATTAATAGGTGATATGTGGCACGTTCCGAAAGTGTATCCAATGCCCATCTCTCTCTTTCCTCAGCCAAATCACTGACCACTTATACCTTAAAATTAATGAGAAGTCAAAGGCTGCTTATTATGCAGTGCACATCTAGAATTAATATTCTAATAAGGCTCATGGAAAGAGTTTAAATTATAACTGCAGCATTTAATCATAATAATAATCAAAGTGGATTACATGTTACAAAACAGAAATGGTTTTTATGCCAGCCGGGGGCAAGACGGGGAATTAACAAGGAAATACACAGCACTTTATTAAACGATATTAAACAGTCAAAATATATATTTAGATAGCGATATGGCCTCTCTTGCCATGCTGAATGATGAATACAACAAGCTATTTCAAGAACTTTACAAACATTTTGAACTGGAAGGTATATTTTAGTGAAGATTCCATTCCTATTGACAGAAAATGGGTTGAATTGAAATTATTCTGTATAAAAACAAAGGATGTGGGAATGTGATGAATTTTCTGAGATGTTAGAGGTCAGCAATGAAGTGGTCTGGAATACTTGATTTTGATTGATCAGCTGTGGTATCCAGTGGTCTGAAATTTTCAATTAGAGTGAAACAGTCAGTTTGGAAAGTAAACAATCCTATTCATTTTCACTGTTTTTTTTAACAATAATAACTTATAAACCTTTAAAGACCTATTCTGAGCTACAAGGTTAATTGATAGTATATGCTGTTGTTGAAGCCCATCAGCACACATTATTTCATCTTATTTTTCTGATTTCAGATCCATGTTAAAAACTCATCTTTTCTCTTGCGTTTTTAACCTTTTGTAACTGCATTTGTATATTACTTTATGTACAGCACTTTGGCCAACCAAGGTTGTTTTTAAATATGCATTATAAATAAATCAGAACTCAAAACTTATTTTTAAATAACAGTGTTTAACCTGAATTCCTGGAAAAACTATTACTCATGATACAGAGAAATCTCCACCAATCAGAGAACTGCAACAAGCAATTTGTGTAAAAAGAACACTTTAGCACTCGTCCACTTCCCTGAAGCACTGCAAATGATATAAAAGTCAAACAAATATGCAACATCAAATTATATATATATAATTTCTATATTGTTCTCAAAGCTTCATGGGATTGTAGATTTTTCCCTTGTTAAAGCAATTAAGTACACAATCTTGAACCTTTGAATTTTTGTCCGATTTTCAAATACATTTTTGCTTCAAATCTTCAAGTTTGCAGTGTTGTAATTCACCTTACACTCTTAAAAATAAAGGTGTTTCACGATGCCATAGAATAACCTTTTTGTCTAAATGGTTCCATAAAGAACCTTTAACATCTGAAGAACCTTTCTGTTTCACAAAAGGTTCTTTATGGCAAAATAAGGTTCTTCAGATTACAAAAAGGTAAGAAAGAGATGGTTCTTTAAAGAACCTTTGACTGAATGGTTCTTTGTGGACCCAAAAATGGTTCTTCTATGGCATCGCTTGAAGAACCTTTTGAAGCACCTTTATTTTTAAGAGTGCTGGTTGGTTTGGTTCATGGATTATGATACTTTTTATTTTATTTTATTTTACTTAAAAAAAAAAATCCACATTGGAAAATTATTTCCGGAACAAGGCCACTGAAAAAGTTGGTGGGCTCTCTATATTCTCCATCATCACAAACGTAACTCAGTTCTTGTTTGTATTGAAAATAACCTGAGAGGTTATTACCTCATAGAATGTTACAGTAATATTATTGACCACTTAACCACTTAACCACTTAATATTATTGCCGTGTTTGTCTTGTTGCTAGGCTGATTGTAATGTTCTTTTTTTTCTTAGAGGAAGCTATGGGATAAATTATTATTAATATTTACTGTATACTATTTAGTTGGTTTGTAGTCATGTAAGCTGAAAGCTAAATTAGAGCCTGCTGGCCATGTTGAACACTGATGTGTTTGCTTACAGCAGTTCAGAAATGTAATAGTGGCATTAAATATCTCTCGGAACAGGCATTCAAACATTTAGCAACATCAAAACTCTGTTTGCAACTTATAAGGATGTGCTTGTGAAAAATCCTTTCTAAAAGGTGAAAAGGAGGTGAGTAATGTTTCACTTGGTCCCACTTAATTGAATGTATCGCACATCAGCTGTCATGCTTAAACACTCAGCCTGAAAGCTAAGGAATAAACACAGTGGCAGGCCACTCTGCCAGCAGCAATCACTATTTGAGGCAGCGAGCAAGAGCTTTTAGTTTGTGTGACCAGCATTTGAATCTAACCCTAGTCATTCTGTGACATATAATCAAGGTCTCTTATTGTTCCTGCTACGCATGTTGATTTTTCTCGGCTCTGATGTAGCTATAACACCCGTACTGTAGTACTCCCTCTGGAAATCGATTTGGATGTGGAACATATTAAGAGGACAAGGGAATAAGGAAGATGGCATTGGAATAAAAAAAATTTGATTGTCACGTCAATCACTTGCGGACTTTGTTTTAATCGTTGTTTGTAACTGCACGAGATGTGAACATAATTTCGATCAATAATAATGCTGAGGGTCTCGACCAAATAACAGTCAGAGGATGTGCTGGAAATCAGTCTCTAGAAATTGGTCTCTGTCAGACTGAGTTGTATAATTTCCATCATATTTGTAGTTTCCCATTTTTATATAGTTACTTGATAATCAAATATGCAGATTTAACTCTGTGTATTTTAATAAAACATAATTAAACATTCCCCACAGAAGTAACCAACAGAAGTTGCCCAGCCAGTGCATATGGTTTATTATTACTGTTTTTTGTTGTTGTTGTTTGTTTACCCCAAACCAGTGTTTATTTTTATTTTTTATCCCAAACCAAAAAGCAGATTCTAAAAAGTCCATTGGTCATGTCAATCATAATACTGATTGCCTGCATACTAGGGGTGTAACGATTCAGATTGCTCACAGTTCGGTTCGATTCACAGTTTTAGGGTCAAGGTTCGGTATGTGCTATATTCAGGGGAAAAAGGAAAGTGAAGTGAAGTGACATGTGGACAAGTATGGTGACCCATCCCGTATGGTGAATTAGTGCTCTATATTTATCCCATCCAAAGTGCACACACACAGCAGTGAACACACACACACCGTGAACACACACCCGGAGCAGTGGGCAGCCATTTTTTGCTGCGGGGAGCAGTTGGGGGTTTGGTGCCTTGCTCAAGGGCACCTCAGTCGTGGTATTGAAGGTGGAAGAGAGCGCTGTATATTCACTCCCCCCACCTACAATCCCTGCAAGTATGAGACTCAAACTCGCAACCTTTGGGTTACGAGTCCGACTCTCTAACCATTAGGCCACGATTTCCCCAGGACTATATTTTGGCCAGGACTATGATAAAAAAAAGAAAAGAAAATGATAACAAATAATCAAACTAAATCATCATTTTGTATAATGGTTTTTCAGTTCGGTTTGAATATTGTTACACCCCTACATACCCTAAAACAAATACTATCCCTTAACCTGAACCTATAAGCTCAGTACAGCATTAGTAGCAGATCCTGAAAGGTAGCAATAGCCTACTGTTTGTAGCAATTGGATCTATTTGTTTATACAGTATGACTATTGTCTATATTGAAACCCTTCCCCACAGCAGATTCTAAAAATTTAATTGGTCATATCAATCACAGTGCCATTCACAAAACAAAAAACAATGTTGTTAATTAAAATTAAAGATACACTATAACATTTTTTGTTCAAAATTTACAAAATTTACATAATAAGCAAGTAGGCTATATCATCAGTCCGTCTTATGAAATGTTTTTCATCGCAAAATGATTCAATTTGTGAAATATCTGATGGTTAAAGTTCTATAAATGCAATAAGGACAAAAAAAAATATGTTCAGTTACATATTCTGCAAAACAATTGCAGATGTTTCCATTAATGTGTAACCTAAAAATGTATTCTAATAACATAAATACTATTAAAAACGAATTATCTATATTCATGTATTCTTTTTTTATTTATTGATTATCAATGTTTTTAATATGTCACAAATAATGGAAAATTTTTGGTTAACCGATGATAACAGTATGCCCTGACCATGACCCAGACCTGGCGTACTATGCCATCTTAGCTGTGTTTACCGATGCAGGCATTTCTGTTAATTGCACAGGCATGTTATATGCAAGGTTTTGTGTGAGGCTACATGTTTGATCTTTTGTGAATAGAATACTGCATGAGGCCCCTGTGGGATATACTCCACGAACAACAAAGGGATTACAGTGTAAGAAACGGGTGTTGGATCTTGACAAGGGCTGCAATGACCTCCAACACACTGTAACTTTTTTGCTTTGATTATTTTTACAGGGAATCAAAGGAGGATCAAAGGCGATTCTACAATGTCAGGGTTGCTGATGTTTCCATCTACATCACTTTCAATTCAGCACTGCCCTCCCTTGTTAGCTTATTCATAAGGAGTCACTGCAGTTGGGCCGATCAATTGGCTGCAATGATAATGAATCACTTCCTCTGGCTGCTTCCACTGGTCTTTCCGCACCTGAGCTCTCCAGTCATATTGCTAGAGAGGAGTGATGGGAATCTCTTTCACTGGAACCATCTGATGAAAGGAGATAAACTGGTGCTACACAGATCCAAAAGGGACTGGATGTGGAGGCAGTTCTTCCTGTCGGAGGAATACACAGGAAGTAACTATCAGTACGTCGGCAAGGTGAGTGTCCACGATAACACGGGCCCAGAACGAGCCTCCTTGTCTAGCAAAACAGGGCTTGGAGGAGATGCAAACACTTGATTTTTGCATTCCTCTTTCGTTTTCCTGAGCTTTATATGGTTTGACACTGGATTTGAACACAGCACTGTGTGGCAGGCACTTTGAAAAACTTGGTGCCATCATCAAAGAACTTAAAGTAGCACAAATATGAATTACACACTCACTGAGGCATGAATATTCACAGAGGCAGAGAGACAGAAAGTGAACGAGAGTGGGAGAGAGTCGTTTTGAGACAGAATACTTCATACCAGGGTTTAGTTTTTTACCGCTCTCATTTCCAGGACAAAGTGGCTCCGCAGAGACCTGACAGGAATCAACAATAATGGGCTATTTCACTCACTCTTTTTCATTCCCCCCATTGACGTCCAACCCATCTGCAGTGGCTGTGTGAAGGAAGGGACTGCAATTCATCAAGCCTCAGTTCAGAGGCATGCTATATTTATGCCACATTAAACATGAAAGAGGAGTCCATACTGACATTCAGCAGCACAGTCCCTGTTATTAAAATACTGACAGTGTTGTATACGTACAGAAAACATAGAATACAACAAAGAGGCTTAAAACTTTGTTCTTTTCCCCTCAATATATAATTATTGTTTAGCATATAGCACATACTAATAAGGGAACTTGGTCAAAATTTGGTCAAAAAGTTACTTGGAACATCTTTTCTGATCTTTGGGCATGCTAGACTAAATGCTTTTGACAGGGTACTTGGCTATGAGTCAAATTGTAATCGATTCATAGCCTCTATAGATAAATAATTATAAATTATGAAGAGCAGTGATTACAATTCAAACAATGCATTAAATGTTGTGTTTATTATTATGACAATACATTCAAATATTATGATAAGAAATACCAGTTTGCAATATCAAGCGCATAAGGAGCTGTTTTGTACAGCCACAAATACCTGAAAGCCGCACATATTTAATGTCCACTCTCACGTTAAGAATGAGGTGGAAAACTAAATAAACGGCAAAGTGAACAAGTGGACACTGATACAGCTCTTGACAGGGAAGTCAGGAGATAAATTAAGGAATAAAGGATTTAAAATTTGTATTCAGGTCTTGTGATTTCCATTTAGCTGCTCAGCTGTATTAGGTATAAAAATACTACGATTCAATCAGATTCTGGGATGTAATGTAATGTAATCTAAGACTTAATGTAAGTCTTGCTGTCCTTTTTCGTTGTAGAAAAGGCATCGCAGTCTCACTGAAATAATCTGTGGTGATGGTAGAAGCGAGGCTTTTCAAATCATTGAATCAATAGACCAATTATAGGTTTGTAAACATTTAGGATGCGTGCGCATCATGGTTACAGAAAACCCGGGAGAGATAGTCTTTATGGCTAGAGAATTACACGGATACGGTACAAAATAGTTATGTTTAAAAAGATTATAGATTATATTGATTAGATGTCATTTTCAAAATGTTCTCCGCATATTACAAGAGCTTGACATCCAGCAATAAGCACTGTTATTCAATGAAATTGACGTTTGAGAGTGGGATAGTCTTACAGATCCGAAACAGGGATGACGTTTTTTGTGGGCAGAGCCTATCTGTTGGCAGAAAACATACTCGGTTACTAACGTAACCTCGGTTCCCTGATATACGGGAACGAGTAATGCATCTTGCTAGACGCATATGGGAAAAATTATTTTTTCTCCTGAACTGAAGCCTTTTTTCATTCATGCAGTGAAACTGAACGGCCATTGGTTCGTGCAGTGCATTAAAAAACAAACCAATGGCTAGGCAGCGGAGCTGCACGAGTCTATGGCGATGAAGCCCACCAAGCCTGCCAAGGCCTGCCAAAACCCGCCAAAATGGACAGGGCATCTGGCTATATAAGCGGGCGCTCGCCACAAGATTATCAGGTTACTTCGACTGAAGTGACGACTGAGTCGTGCAGCTACATAGCACGGCTAGCAAGGCAGTACTCGTTCCCGTATCTCAGGGAACCGAGGTTATGTTAGCAACCGAGTAAATTCCCTTTCGATACTACACTCGTACTGCGTCTTGCTAAACGCATATGGGAACACAGTACAATCACGCCGTGCTAATGTAGTGGAATGACTAAAAGTATCAAACTTCCATAAGCAACCAATGCCCATAGAGAAGTTAACAACAACCCAAGTCTAAGATGGGCTGAGCTTCCTGAGGTCACACCCGACCTGTTTAATCGTTCCAGAGTACTCCTGTAACTTCGACCCAGAGTACTCCTGTAACTTCAACCCAGGCGTCGAGAGCTAACATGTGAACTAATGCCAGAGAGCTTGAGCATGATACGGCCAAGGGCTCTCTGCCAGATCTGTTTATGCAGCGCATGTCACTTCAAGCAGAAAGGACCCTGGCCTGCAAGGCCGGGACTTCCAGGTTATAAAACTTTGCGAATGTGGACAGCGAGGCCCAGCCGGCCGCCTCACAGATATCCGCAATGGACACACCACTGGACCATGCCCAAGACGAGGGGATGCCTCTAGTCGAGTGGGCCCGTACTCCAATGGGGCATGAAGGCCCAAAAGAGAGTACGCTAGCGAGATGGAGTCTACTATCCATCTAGAGAAATGTTTCTCAACCCTGGTCCTGAGTGCCCCTAACACTGCACATTTTGTATGTCTCCCTTATCTGACACCCATTTCAGGTTCTGGAGTTCTTTTTAATGAGCTAGTGAGTTGAATCAGGTGTGTTTGATTAGGGAGACACACAAAATATGCAGTGCTGGGGGGCGCCCAGGGCCAGGGTTGAGAAACACTGATCTAGAAAGTCTTTGCTTCGTGACCGGAAGCCCTTTGGTGCGCTTACCGAAGCTGACAAAGAGTTGTTCCGACCGCCTATAGGGGCGGAACGCTCAATATAGATTCTCAGAGCTCTGACTGGGCAGAGCAGAGATAGCTCTGTGTCCTCTTCAGAGGGAGGAAGCGTGGAGAGCGTAATGACCTGTGCTCTGAACGGAGTGGAGAGCACCTTAGGTACGTAACCGTGCCTTGGTTTCAGGATGACTTTTGTTTCGTTAGGCCCAAATTCCAGGCAGGCAAGGCTACTAGAGAGCGCCTGCAGGTCCCCTATTCGCTTTACTTATGCCAGTGCTAGAAGCAGAGCAGTCTTTAGCGATAGCAACCGAATGTTGGCAGACTGTAGCGGCTCGAAAGCGGGACCCTTCAAGGCCCTCAGCACAGTGGGCAGATCCCATGAATGGACGGAAGGGGGACGAGGCGGATTCAGCCTCCTAGATGGAAGCGGATGACCACGCTGTTTCTGCCCACCGATGAGAGACTGCTATAGCCGCCACATAAACTTTGAGCATGGATGGGGAGCGTCCCTTATCCAGCAGCTCTTGCAGAAATGACAATATCTCTGACAATATCTTTGCCGCGGTTTAGACACCAAGCGGAGAAAAAACGGCCTCGGCCTCGCCGAAGATCTCCCAGATCCTCTGAACCATCTACAGATGGAGCATCCACTCCCCTGAGGGGACATTGCTCTTTGATAGCATGTCCGTTCCTTGGTTCAATTTGCCCGGTATATGCACTGCTCTCAGCGAGCGCAGGTTGAGTTGAGCCCATTCCAAGAGGCGCTCTACCAGAGTGAAAAGATGCTTCGAGGAGAGGCCTCCCCGGCGATTTATGTAGGACACCATGGACCTGTTGTCCGAACGGATTAGCACATGGTGTCCTTTTAGAACTGGCAGGAAGAACTGACAGGCTCGACATACTGCTAGCATTTCCAGGCAGTTAAGGTGGAAGCATTTTTCCGCCTTTGACCAGTGGCCGAAAGTCGGTATGCCCTCGCACAGTGCCCTGTTTGATTTGGAGGCGTCTGTCGTGACAACTGTCTGCAAACCATCCCCATGGCCACACCCTGTTCCATCCAGCGGGAGTTCTTCCAGGGGGCCAGGGCTGTTACACAGGCATGACTCACCCTGATCTGCAGGCGTCCATGACGCCACACATGGGATGCAACCCGTGGGCAGACCCAACTGTAGCGCTGGCGATGCCGCCGCCGTGAGGTCCAGCATCCTTTGAAATGCTTTGAAAGGGCGAGTGGTACCAATATCGAAGGTCGCCAGCCTCCGTATGGCCAGAGCCCGTTCCGGCGTGACTACAGCTCTCATTTGGGCTAAGTCGAAAATTGTTCTCAGGAACGATATTCGCTGGCCGGGGAACAACGAGCTCTTGGCAAAATTGACCCTGAGTCCCAGGCACTCCAGAAAATTCATCACCTCTGAGCGCAGGACATGTGCGTCTTTGCTCTAAGCTGAGGTGGGAACCACGCAGCTGAATTGTGGGGTATTCGAGCGAATTGCAGTGAATAACCTCGTTTTATTATCTCCAACACCCAGATTGGCACTACAGGGATGGCCCGACAGGCCTCTGCCCGTGTGACAAGGGGTTGGATTAAAGGCAAGCCGCGAGCAAACCAGAGCAAGACATGAACTCTCGTTGTAAGAGTGGTCTGTCTCAGCAGTGCAGCCTCAGCGTGGGCGTGGCCCAGGCAAGAGGCGTGTTCAAATACAAAGCTGTCAGTGATATTGAATCTTTGGTGACAGCGTTCTGCTCCAAACCCCCCAGGAGGATTGAGCCGCTCAACAATGAGGGGCACCGATCCCCACATGTCAACACACTGGCAGATCAAAGAGCTGCTTGGAGAGTGATGCATGCGGGGGATTTGCCGGCATTAAATCACTCAAGTCTGATCTTTCATACCCGTCATTCTACCTCCGAGTAACTGGGAGGAGAGAAACACAAGAGCGGGGGAGGCGGGGCTCAGCAACGCACACACAAATGCGAAGCTACCAGCGTTTTGCTTTGATCTGCCTAGGAGGATTAAGCTGCTCATGAAACAAGAATCGCTGATTCTCACGTGTAACACACACTGGCAGATTAAGCACGCCTGATGTGTGTCGGCATGAAATTGCTCTGCCTGATCGCTCAACCCGCGAGAGAAACATGAGAACGAGGAGGCGTGGCCACCTTCCGCGAACGAACAGGGGCAGACTGCTTTCGTGGTAAAAGCAGCCCGTGTCTGTGAGTGCAGTCATTGTGACACACACAATTCGAAGCTGCCAGTGGCAGCATCTGCTCCGATCTACTTGGGAGGATAGAGCCGCTCGATGTAAAGAGGGATTGCGATCCTTACGTGTGAGACACGGATCGAAGCGCAGCGGGGAGAGCGAGTACGCAGGCTCTGTGTCTGTGTGAGATCGCTCAGACCCGGTTGCTTAGTTCCCAGGCTTCGCCGTTTCTCTCTCCGGGGCTTGCTGAGAGAGGAGAAACGGGAGAGCGGTGCTGCCTTCAGTGAAAGGCGGTCCACGAGTGGAGAAGAGCGAGACTCATGCTCTGAGTGAGCATTATGTCTCAGTAGGCGCACAGCTCACTGCCCTTCTACATCGGATCCGAGTGCAACGGGGAGAGAGAGCACGCAGGCACAGTGCCGGCATTAGATCGGTCAACCTGGTTGCTTATTCCCTTACTCCGCTGTTTCCCTCTCCGAGGCTTGCTGAGAGGAGAAATGGGAGAGCGGGGCTGCCTTCAGTGAAAGCTGTCCGCGAGTGGAGAAGGGCGAGACTCATGCTTTCAACGAGAGCATTCTGTCTCAGTGAGCGAGCACTCTCTGCATGGGGGCTGCCCAGACAGGTGACGCACTCACTGCCCTTCTGCATTGTGCAAGATTCCCTGCACAAGCCACACTCGCAACACGACATTTTCAACGTCACTAGAATTTGTTGTTTTAGGGCTTACCTGCTAGAAATAAGCTCTTTCAGTATCGCCGGGTGGCTGCAGGGGAACAGGACCGGAACTGCTGCGATGCTGAGGCGCGAAGAGAGCCAGTCAGCCGAGCAGGGAGGTCTCAATCCAGCTGCGAGGCATGTCAACGGCGAGCAGGCTTTCAGGATCAGCGATGAGCGTAGAGTCGTTGCTGAAGGAGAAGAAATCTGAGAATCCTGTGGCGAACGACCCGCTTATATCGCCAGATGCCCCATCCATTCTGGTGGGCTTTGGCAGGCTTGGCGGGCTTCGTCACCATAGGCTCGTGCAGCTCCACTGCCTAGCCAATTGGTTCATTTTTTTAATACACTGCACGAACCAATGGCCGTGCAGTTTCACTGCGTGAATGAAAAAAGTCTTCAGTTCAGGAGAAAAAAGGTTTTTTCCCATATGCGTCTAGGAAGATGCAGTACGAGTGTAGTATCGAAAGGGAACTCACTATTTTTTTAGTTAAGTCGAGTTATAAAGTCTGAATTAGGAGATATAAACCTGTATTTGCGAGGAAAAAAAAGTCAGAATTGTGAGATAATATAAATAAATGTTATGTAAAAATGTTAATAGTAAGGTTTAAATAACATTTCATGCTGTAACTGTAGGGCTAATACAATACGTCCCCTATGAACAGCATATGTGAATATTATGTAGACCTATTGTTTAAATCAAATTTATGCTTTAAAAGTAGAGTAATCATAGCAGTTTTCATTCATAGTATGTCCATTTAAACGTCTGCGTTTAGCTTCAAATGGCGTCTTTGATGACCGATCTTGACATCAAAAGGCACAAAAATATTGACGTAACTGTGACGTCTACTCTGAATTGGTCTATTGCAGTGGTTCTCAAACCTCTCCATGAAGTACCCCCAGCCCTGCACATTTTGTATGTCTCCCTATATCTGACACGGTGTACACTGTTTAGAGACAGTGTAAGTCAGAACACAGCTTTTATGTTAGGCCAGATAAATAGCTGCTTTTGTAACATTCTGCTTTGTGATGTTTTCTTTCGTCTTTCATTTGCCCTCTCCATCAGTCAGAGTGGATAACATAAAGTGTTTGTTATGAGATCCTGCTGAGTATGTTTGAAGGGTCAGCTGGTGGAATCAGACCACTGGCTCTTTCTAAAAACAGCATTTAGAGCCCAGGATAAATGCATTAAATGGCCATGACTCTAACCAGATGCTGGACCTGCATCTGCACACATAAACACATGAAACACCTGCTTTTGTGATTCACTGAAGCCTGATAGAACCCATATAGTCTCATCCCACTGGTTGAAATTTAATTAAGCATCAGACGGTGACAGTTGGACAGCTTAAGGGCAAATAAACTCATTTCAGGGAAACTGAATGACCCAGCTAGTGGGATGAATCAGGGTGATTCTTCAATTAGGGGGACTTTTCTGTACCTTACTAAGATTTTAAAGGAAAAGAAAATAACTTTTTAAATGTTTTTTTAACGAGTTTTACCTAATATTTAAAGTGTTGCATTGAAACATTTTCTATTTTAGGCTTGTTCTTATACCCAGACTTTAAAACCTTCCTTTATAATAAATAAAATAGTAATAAATAAACAAATAATTAAAAGCAGGGAAATTATAGTTTGCACAATTTTTTCTCAAATAAAGTGTTGTTATTATTAGTATTACGCCATTTCAAGAAGACAAACATGCTAAAAACTGAATTTTATTATAAAAATGGCAAAAAGAAAAGTGTTGAAAGACTTCAAAGCATTGGCGATTTGGTTTCTAACATCAGTCAGTTTTAATGTAATAATATATAGAGGACAGTGATGAGATCAAGTTTTATGAGTTTATTCTAAGTGGCAGGATAACAGTAAGGACAAAGATGGCAATAAACAATTCTGATTAGTATTATCACTATTAAAATGAAAAGTCATGGAAATCATCATGTTCTAAAATGCCTAGGAACATTTTGTATTTTTAGAAATGCAAATGGAAATGCAGTGGTAAAAACTGACTAAAAGCTTCATTAGTATTTAATGGAATATGTTCTGTAGACTTGTACTCTAAAGACTGTGGCTTTTATGTGTTTCTATTGTCCCTAGAGAGCTTTCCCTCCAAAAGATGATTCTTCTAAGCAGCTAACCATGATTGAAAACAAGTCTAGCTGAAGTCCACTGGTTAATAAAACATGACAGCATATCATATTAACATTTTGCTGAAGGAAGGACTTTTTGTTACAGTGTTTGATTAAAGGGTTTGATTTGAAAATATCCACAAATGATGTGCCAAAACTTGGATTAAGTCACAGTCTGTTTTCTCTCCATGCAGCTTCGCTCAGACAAAGACAGAGGGGATGGAACTGCCAGATACGTTCTCTCTGGGGAAGGAGCAGGCACAATTTTTCATATCGATGAGAAGTCTGGGGATTTGCATGCTACACAGAGACTGGACAGAGAGGAAAAGGCCTCTTACACACTGCAGGCCCAGGCTTTAAACAAGATCACAGGCCTCCCTCTGGAGCCTGCCACTGAATTCATTGTCAAGATACATGACATCAATGACAATGAGCCCAAATTTACCAAGGCTGTCTACACTGCCAGTGTACCTGAAATGTCAGACATCGGTGAGTGAATGAAAATTACTTTTTCTCTCGGTGTTGTTATTTGAAGTGCATCTACTGTCATGCTGGAATACTGCACCAGGGTGTGATATTCCTGTCACTGCAGTGTTTTTAAGGTCAATGATGCCTCAGTGCTGTTGGTTTTTAGAGTTTTTTTCCCCCTTCTTCTTCATTTGACAAGTCTTTGGAGCATGTAGTGTTATGGAGTCGAGCATTTAGACAACAGTGAGCTACACTTTCACAACGTTTTGTTTTCTTTTGTTTTATTAGGGTTGTTTTGTTTTGGCTTTGATTTAAGTCTGTATCTTGTCTTGTTAAGTCTTGTGTTTTTTTTTTTTTTTTTTTTTTTTTTTTTTGTGTTAGGGCTGTTTTGGCTTTGATTTAAGTCTTTATCATGTTGACCTATCATGTTACTCAACATTACTAGGTTATGATTTAGACAAAAGTGAGTTAGACTTTGACAAAAATTTGTTTTGTTTTGTGTTTTTAATGTTTTGTTTTGGCTTTGATTTAAGACTTTAACATGTTGACCTATAGTTACGCAACATTTTCTGCATGATTAATTAATTAATTATTTTTTTTATTTTTATTTTTGTGTGTGCCCTGAAATTGAAAAAAAAAAAATGTATTCAAATAATAAATGAATGTTATAGTTCCACATGAGTTACTTAAAAAACCCCAGGATAATTTGATGCGGTCAAGAGGTCTGGAGACCATAACAAACTAGGAAAAATTATAAAATAAGTTCTGGCATTTTCTATTTATTATTTGGTGTTTGTTGCCGCATAAGTAAATAACAATATGCATAGCAAATAAGACTGATACCATGGTTCTATTAATAATCAGAAAAAAAACCTATTACCTAAACATAGCAGTTTTCTAGGAATCTAGGAAACACTTTTCAGGTAGTCAAATGCAAATATATGTAAACATTAAAACCAATGCCCGCTAGACACTGCCTCTCTTGAGTCCTGATGTAGTGCCTGATGGAAGATATTCTATTTGCTCATCTTATCACATTTTCTATTCACATCTAATTCCCATTCGCACATCATCTATCACCACTGTCTTACACAATCAGTGGCTCTGTGCTAGCAGTGACACTGCACCATACATATTCACAGTGCATGAATATTCAGTAGATTCATGCTGCTTCTCAGTAATATCATAATAACCTCTGGTTATCCCATTTCCAATCAAGTCAGTCCTCAAGCAGTGAAGCAGTCTGTTTGGTATCATCTCCCCAAAGCAAATCTAATGATGCTCTTCCTTCTCTGATATGGGTTCTCATGTTCAGCTGGAATCTAATATAAGGCACTGTACATCTTATTTATTAAATTATTGCCCTCAATCAGGGGGAAAGTGTCATCATATTATGAAGCACTCATTACCCTCTGACACACAACCCTAGGACAAAACCAATTCTATCTGGGTTTTCCAATTTAAGGAATGGTGGTAAATCAAGGTTAGCGGCACTGTAGCCTTTGAACCATAATGAATGCTAATAATTCAGTTCTGAAGCCAAACAAGGACCCAACTATTTGTTTCCTTTTCATAACTGTACCCCCTGATAATACATTTATTGAGAAATGTTCACATTTGAGAAATGTAATATTATATAAATGTATTTCCAAACACAATCCTTCCCCGAAAAAGTTTTATATAGATGCTAATCGGTTTAATCTTAATATTAAAGTGACTGTATCTTCTCCACTGCTACCCATAGGAATATTTTATTGCTCAGAGGTTGGTCTTTCATAGTTCTTCAGACTCAGGTATGTTCTTAATTATGCTTGAGTGAAATATTGACGTTTGCCTCAGATGCTTATACTAAAATGCCTATAAGGAGAAATAAATATTGGCATACAGTATGTCAATAAATTGAATGTATTTGGAAGAATTTTATGAGAAGCTAATGATTTCTGAAGGCAGACTTTGGAATTTTGTCAAATCTGAGGACATTTTATTACATTGTTGATGTTTTTTGGGTGTCTCCATAAAAGAGAAGAAGGAGACTTAATCAAACATCTCCATTTGCTCTCCTCTCCATTCCTCAAAACTCTTTTGTCTCTCTTTTTTATAGGTACTTTTGTAATAGAAGTCAATGCCACTGATGCAGATGATGCCACATACGGGAACAGTGCCAAACTAGTGTACAGCATCCTGCAAGGGCAGCCCTACTTCTCTGTGGAGCCAGAGACAGGTGAGTCCTCCAAACATCTTGTTGAAAACATATTCTCTGCTGACATACTACTACGATGGATGCCTGAGGCCATTTGACAAAGTGAGGCAGGGATGTGACTTTTTATGTGGAATGTCTGAAGCATAAAGATCACACACTGCTGCGCCTGGTTAACACATTTAGCTACAACTAGAATATTTGTTTTACACGAAATAAAATAAAAATTTGAAATGGAACAAATTACTATGCTGGGCTTGTTTTATTACTTTTTCTGGGAAGAATGGAAGTTCAGTTTGATAAATGTTCCAATATAAAGGTTATGGATGCAAAATATTAAGATGAAGGTATAAACACAAGGAAAGGAAAACACTGGCCCTTTAAGAAAGTTGTAAACAAATAAATATATTATTAGATAAAACATTAAGAAAAATGGAAGTACAAGTTTCTGTTTACTCAGAACTGCAAAACTGCTGTCTTGCATTAAATTTAAAACAATTAGTGGATAAATGAATGAATATGTAATTGTGCTTTGTAAGTAGGAATATTTCATAATAAATGAAAAATTATCTATATGAATTAATAGGTACGATATGAACTATTTATTGTATTACTAATATTTATTACACAATATACTGTACATCATGTGTGTATAGACTAGAGATAGAAAGAGTGAGAGAGAGAGAGATGTTGCATTTACATTGTTGTTGATATTATGTACAATATTATGTTTTTATGCTTATTGGTTATACAATGTTTTTTTTTCTGTGCAGGAATTGTCAGAATAGCCCTTTCAAATATGGACCGAGAAGTGCGGAAGGAGTATCAGGTGGTTATACAAGCCAAAGACATGGCAGGACAGATGGGGGGTCTGTCTGGAACCACCATGGTCAACGTCACCCTTACAGATGTTAATGACAGCCCGCCACGTTTTGCTTACAGTAAGATATCACTAAATTAAAAATGCTTTTAAAGTTAACGTGAATTGCAAGCCATCTATTGTTTATACTTCTTGATCTGTGAGTTGTATTTCTGATGCATTTCCAAGTGAGATAGAGTATTATTCACCAGAGAAATATTACATGGAGCTAAAACAAATGAGTTCACTAAAATACTTCTTAAATAGCTGTTTGCTATTGGTTAAAATTTTAGTTAAACAAAATTCTAGCATGGCCAAAGTGACATCAGAAAAAAGGGTTTCAGAGGAAGAGCAAGTTATTCGATTTTGATTAAAATATATTGAGGACCATTTTTTTGTCAAGAATAACACACACCAATGAAAATACAACTAGTATTGTGCAGCTTAAATAGCTGTTTGCTATTGGTTAAAATTTTAGTTAAACAAAATTCTAGCATGGCCAAAGTGACATCAGAAAAAAGGCTTTTCAGAGGAAGAGCAAGTTATTCGATTTTGATTAAAATATATTGAGGACCATTTTTTTGTCAAGAATAACACACACCAATGAAAATACAACTAGTATTGTGCATTAAGAATGAATTAATCAAATAGGGTAGATTTTGACTTTAAAAGCCATGAAGGGCTTAGAATTAAGACCAGAAAGGACATAGAATTGTTGTATATGGTTGAAATGACAATAACCTCTTTCCTTTTCAAGGTTCTTACCACCTAAGCACTTATGAGTCAGCAGCAATCGGATCAACTGTGGGCCGAATCAAAGCCAGTGATGGTGACGAGGGAGAAAATGCTGAAATGAAATACAGAATTGGAGATGGAGATGGCAAAGAATATCTTGATATAATAACAGATGAGATAACCCAAGAGGGTATTATCGTTGTCAAAAAGGTAAAACCCTGTATTACATTTACATTTACATTTAGTCATTTAGCAGACGCTTTTATCCAAAGCGACTTACAAATGAGGACAATAAAAGCAGGCAAAACTAACAAAAGAGCAACAATATATAAGTGCAAATGACAAGTCTCGGTTAGCCTAACGCAGTACACGTAGCAAGATTGTCAAAAAGGTAAAACCCTGTATTACATTTACATTTAGTCATTTAGCAGACGCTTTTATCCAAAGCGACTTACAAATGAGGACAATAAAAGCAGGCAAAACTAACAAAAGAGCAACAATATATAAGTGCAAATGACAAGTCTCGGTTAGCCTAACGCAGTACACGTAGCAAGGTGTATATACTGTATATATATCAACCCTCTATGGACACCTTGGCAATTGAATCGCCATTGGCTAGTACATTTTTTTGTTTACTCGCCAGACTGTATTAGTATTAGTAGTAATATTAATAATACTAATTAGTATTAGTATTTATATGTTATGATTTATAATGCTACTGAAATATTAACAATCACTCTTCTTGATCTTCATACAGAAACTGGACTTTGAAAGTAAGCGTGTTTACACAGTGAAAGTGGAGGTCACTAATACACACCAGGACCCCAACTTCACTCTTCTGGGCCCATTCTTAGACACAGCCATCGTCAAGGTCACGGCCAAAGATGTAGATGAGCCTCCTGTCTTCAGTAGGCCTCAGTATGTCTTTGAGGTCAATGAGGACACACCAAAAGGAATAGCAATTGGAACTATTACAGCCTGGGACCCTGATGCCACACATTACCCAATCCAGTGAGCAATTGAAATATTTAATTATTCAACAGTTACTGCAGGGAATTCACTAAAATGATTTGCACCCACGATAGCACAAGGTAGTTTATTTCCACACGCTGTCTGCACTGCATCCGAAGCTCTAAATAAATTATGCAAATCAAAAAACGGCACAAACACGCCCACAAAAAAAATATAAATAAATAAATAAATAAATCTGTTGAATGCATATCCCAATATTGCAGGTACAATACTGGTTTTTCTCCAGGTTGTGGAAGATGCAGCACACTACAGCTATCTGACATATTTCGCTGGGACGGCATTGCTCCAGTGCCTGAATCAACTCTTTAAAGTGACGGAAATGCACTCGACTGCAAAAAAATAATAATAATAATAATATATATATATATATATATATATATACAAACACTCTTCTTCATTTGATTAGCATTTGATGAATGGCTGCAGTGATGCCTAGAAAATGTACACAAACACAGATAGTGCTGACTTTTGGTGTATAAGGCACAGTCTATAATAAGCCTAATTTACATAGAAAAGATTTGTATGCAGTGAAATGACAATTTGAATACGCATGTCACAGTACTACATATGCAGATTGTGCATGGTGAAACTGGATTAAGAGTGGTTAGCAAAAGAGACTGAAACAGTGCAAAAACAGGGTGCAAATGTTTAGTGATTTTGCCTCATATACTGTATATAAAGTTTACACATTTAAAGTTGTTTTGTTCAGTAAAGTGTTGGAGTAATGCCCACAATCAGCTCTGAGAACTTGTGCTTGATGGGTAAAAAAATACAGAATTAAGAAACAAATCTCATTGTGAAATACAAAGTCACAATTATGATTGGAAGTTACCATGATGAAAAATAAACGCAGATAAATTAGTCAGAAATTGTGAAAAATAGATTTATGAAATAAGTCATTTATTCATTTCAAGTAATAATGAATTCATTTAAATTTAAATTGTAAATATAAAAGTTGCAGGAGAAATAAAGTTGCAAGTATGAGAAATAAAGTGTCAATTACTTTTTTATTTATTTATTCATTTTAATTTGAGGCTGAAATGGGCTTCCATATGGCTTCCATATTGTTATAAAACAAACAAAAAATATATAATATTTTACAATAAAAAAAAAACTCATTTACAATAATTCCCTGGCAGTTGGCATTTGTCTAATATGTTATAGTTTATAATAAATCCTATGCAATGCCATCTCTTCTTCAAACTTCAGGGAATGCCAGTGACTGTTTTAAGTTATTTTTATTTCTTTCTTAAACCTGTCCATAGATATGCAATAGATCAACACACAGACCCGGAGAGACTCTACCACATCGACCCCAAGAATGGATCCATCACAATTCTTAAATCTCTTGATAGGGAAGTGTCAAAGTGGCACAACATCTCAGTCCTGGCCAGTGAAATGAGTAAGTAAATACATGCATAAAGAAATAGAAATTTTATTTTTAATAAATAAAAAAATATTTTTTATAATATATATAAAAATATATATTTATATATATTATTTATATATATATATATAAATATATATATATTGTCTGCTTTACATTGTGATAATCTTTACATTATTCCTCTAGATAACCCTCATCAAAGAAGTCGTGTTCCTGTCTTGATAAAGGTTTTGGATGTAAATGACAATGCGCCAGAATTTGCCATGATTTATGAGACATTTGTGTGTGAGAATGTCAGAGCTGGGCAGGTATTTATACTTTATATACATTTTTGACTGGTTAGCCATGAAGGTTTCAAAACATATGAATGCTTTTTATATACAATGCAGACAAGTTCAATGCAAGTTCAAAATGCAAGTTCAAAATCATGTCTACCATTCCAGCTCATACAGACTATCAGTGCCATCGACACAGACGATCCTCTTGTGGGTCACAAATTTGTATTCAGCTTGAGTTCAATGAATCCAAACTTCACCATCTTTGATAATGAAGGTGAATAAATCTTTCCTTTGACGTTTCAATCTTGAATCTTATGGAAAATGCATGTGTTTAATAATTTTTTTGTTTTGGCACCAACAAAAACAGCTTTATTTTTGCTGTTGTTTGACTCAGCATGAGATAATATCTCCAGCTCAGACTGTTTGAATGTTCTTTTAACCCCCACAGATAACACAGCCAGAATCCTGACCAGACGAAGTGGATTTAACAGGCGTGAAATGAGTGTCTACTATCTGCCAGTAGTTATCTCCGACAGCGACTACCCCATCCAGAGCAGCACCAGCACGTTGACCATTCGCGTGTGCAGTTGTGACGCCACCGGCAACATCCGTTCCTGCAGTGTCGACGCGTTGCTGCTCTCTGCTGGCCTCAGCACTGGGGCGCTAGTGGCGATACTTCTCTGCATCCTCATCCTGCTTAGTGAGTTTATCCAGACATGGTTTTGTAATTTGCATCATAACCCAAGGCAGGCTGGTTATAGTTTTGATTTTTTTTATTTACTTTTTTTTTTTTTTTTTAGTTTAGTTTTCATCACCTTTAGTTTTAGTTTCTCCAGCTTCCAGTTTTCTAGTTTCAGTTTTAGTTTTTATTTATTTATTTTAGTTGCAGTATTTTAGAGCATCCAAGTTAAAATGCTTATTTTTAAAAATATGTTTAATAGTGTTCATTTTCTAAGTACAGTCTAGTATTATTGCAGTCTAGTGGTATTTTCTCATGTAATGCAGGTGAGTTGTAAATGTTTCAAGTTTGAAATATAACATATCTATACTTTAGTTTTAGTTTCTCCAGCTTCCAGTTTTCTAGTTTCAGTTTTAGTTTTTATTTATTTATTTTAGTTGCAGTATTTTAGAGCATCCAAGTTAAAATGCTTATTTTTAAAAATATTTTAATAGTGTTCATTTTCTAAGTACAGTCTAGTATTATTGCAGTCTAGTGGTATTTTCTCATGTAATGCAGGTGAGTTGTAAATGTTTCAAGTTTGAAATATAACATATCTATAATTTAATAGTGATTCATACTCAAAATTCAGAAAAACTTTTATATATATATATATATATATTTTTTTTTTTTTTACTTTATTAATCGCATGGAGATAAACACTGGATTTTTAAAATTAGTTTAGCGATGCTTTTTTAAGTCATGAAAATGCATTTTAGTTTTGTTTTGGTTTTTCCAGTAATGTTTTTTTTTTACAGTTCATGAAAATGTTTTCAATTGGGTTTCATCTTAGTTTTCATTAAATTCATGACGAAAATAAGTAGCGACAAATCTCTTCTTCCATATTGTGATGTACATGTGAGTGAATTGGATTATCCAAAAAAATAAAAATAAATAAATAGCAAATCCGAATGTGAGCTTGTGGCTTTAAGCTGACTAAATGATTGGAGAAGTCCTGCATACGTCACCAGAGAAGTCTGACGTTTAACCGGAAGAACCATTTTGATTAAAAATGACAAGCTCAAAAAATGCAAACAATAATCAATAAGATCAATAAAATGCATTTACAACATAGAATTTAGAATTTTAATTTCATGCAGACTTTAACAGTAATACCACTGACAAATCTCTTCACTCTTTTTCCAGTGATTGTGGTGCTGTTCTCGGCTCTAAAGAAGCAGAGGAGGAAGGAACCGCTGATCATCTCCAAAGAGGACGTCAGGGATAACGTAGTCAGCTACAACGACGAAGGTGGCGGCGAGGAGGACACGCAGGCCTTTGACATTGGCACGCTGCGCCACCCGGAGGTGATCGAAAGCAACAAGCTGCGGCGCGACATCATCCCCGAGATGCTGTTTCCCTATCACAGACCTTCACCCATGAAGGAGTGCGCAGATGTCAGAGACTTCATTATTAGCAGACTGCAAGAAAACGACACAGACCCTTTCGCGCCTCCCTATGACTCTCTCGCCACTTATGCTTATGAGGGCAATGGATCAATCGCTGAGTCACTGAGCTCTATGGAGTCCTCTGTGACTGAGGGAGACCATGAATATGATTACCTCTCTAACTGGGGCCCGCAGTTTAAAAAGCTTGCTGACATGTACATCGGGAAGGATACGGGAGTTGCCAACTAGGCTGCCGTTCAATGACATTCATATTCTCTGTATGTATGCTCGGATCTCACTCTGTGCTCTGAGGCATAACATGAAAGAAAGAAAAAAAGGATACTTCTCAAGTCCTCTTTCTTTTGTTTTCTACAAACACAAGCTGAATTTCACTTTTATGATGGATTTTTTCGTGGATGGTGTTGTGGTGAGGTGATTATGTGTTAATAGGAGAAGTGATGGTGATTTAGTTTTTTGTTCATTTGGAAAACAAAACTTGACTGAGGAGCAAAATGAATGGATGATTTTGTGACTTTAAATACACGGACAGTGACAAGACTGCCTTCGTCTTATAACAGATTGTAAAGGACTCTTCCCTGTTCCTCTTCCTTTGATGGTGTGGCGTTTCATGCATCACAAATCACGCTGTGCTACGTTTTTAGGTTTTAGGTTTCTTAAAATTCTACAAATGCAGTTTTTTTTTTCATTTGATGTTTTCAAACAAATAGTTGCCAACTAAAAAACAAAACAAAAAACAGTTAAAATAATTTCTCCAAATTACTTTCTTTGTTGAAACGCAAAATAATACATTTTGATTCTCTTTTTTATTCAGCTACAGTGAATGGGAACTGAAGCCTTCAAGCTCAAAAAATATGCAAAAACGTTCATTAAAAAAACATATATCATAAAAGTGCTCCATAGAACTCGTGAACTATATGTGACCTTGTCTGTGGAATCCAGGCTAAAGTCTCAAAATCGAATTATGAGATAACAAGCATCAAAGTTTGATTTCAACCATTAATTTCTCTATGATTTCAATCTTTGACATGGCCTTACTCAGTCAATATTAAAGATATAAAGGTTATATTTTCAAAGAGTGTTCTACATCTTTATGAAGGATGATTGTATGTAGAAAACAGTAAATCACACACAAAAAAAAAACTTTAGCTGGCTTTTCACAGCTCGGGTCACATATTTCATGTCGTTTTAAATCATTTGATGCTTTGTGTGAGCATAAATTTGAGTCAATCTTTAAGAATTTGAGTCATATTTTCAATGAACTGCTTGATTCACTTCACAAAATTGGTTTGAATGATTAATTCACAAATTAGATTGATCCGGTTCCCAAAATCTACTCACTTGCTCAATGTAGGAAAGATTATTTGTGAATAATGTTTACATTTTGGTGTATATCTCACACAAAGCTATTGTTTGACTTCAGATGTCTTAGAATATTGCACACAAGTTATGTATGGATTATTTTATGATGCTTTTGCTTCTTTTTCGAATCTTGAGAGCTTCAGTTCTCATTCATGGGGATTGTATGTAACAGAGCAATTAGGAAAGTCTTAAAAATGTATGTTCCACAGAAGAAAGTATATGCCATACTGGTTTGGAACAATGTGATGGAGTAAAAAATCTGAAATGTTCATTTTTGGCTGAACTGGCTCTTTAACAGGACTTTACATAGAGGGATTTCAGTTATATTGTCAACATTTAAATGTGAGTGGAGAAATGTTTCATCACAGACTCGGCCAAACTTGTGAAGTGCTCTCTTGTTGAAACATAATTGCAGCATTATCATTACAGCACTGAAAGCTTACAGAGGAGCAGGGGAGTATTTCTACATCTGTATGAGATGTAGTTCAATTCAACTTCATTTGCTTGTGTGAAGTTTGCCTAATTTGCAAAACTGCAGATTACACTGAAATCAAACAGGAATGCTGCAGTACACTGAGCTTGTGTGAATGGATGTTGTCAAAGTGTTTTATATTCACATTTTTTAAGTATATATTTTAATAAAAAAAAAATATGAATGCACTTACAGCTGCCTAATTTTTCTGTTAATCTGCCTTTTTTTTTTTAAGGTTTCATTACATCTCTATCACACACAAAGGCCAAGAACTGAAGGTTCACTGGTGTTAGGTGGCCTCTGCTGGGCGATAGACAACCAGGGTTCTCTGTTGTGGATCTTCTAAAGCAATTTATTTTCCCATTGTGGCCTGCCAAAGTCTGGAACTGATTTGGTCTGAACTGTGAGAATTAGCTGTGAGAATTAATTTAATTTTAATTTTGTCTAGAGCACTTACTGTATGTTTACTGCAGATCCTTTTTGCAAATGTTTAATTTAAACTGTTGGTGTTCTTTTGTGGAGTAATTCTTTTGTATTGTCAACTTTGGTTTAAATGTGGTTCTGTATTGACAACCTATAAGGTGTAATTTCTTTCTTACTTTGCAATGTAGTGGTTACTTTTCTTAAATGAGATGTATGTGGCTGACAATTGCGACCTTGGGAGGGCCCAGCCTTTGAAATGAGATACAGCTTTGCTCATCTGTTGTTCATAGTCCTGCAATACCAGAGACTGCAGTTTCAGGACTGCATTTCTATGACCCTTGTTTTTTGTGACAGTGCCACCTAGCCAATTCTATTCCATCAGAGGAGACCTGATTCAAACCTGAAAGAAACATGTGAAATACCTTTTTGTAAGAGTTTGTAACATATGCAACATATGTAAAAGAAGGTGTGGCCATTTTACACTTGAATGTACAAGACTTCCAGTTATTTTAGCTGTGCAAAACAGTTAATTATGCTGCTTGATGTCAAGGACTAGTATTGATCACATCTTAATTTATTATAATAAACACGTTATTTATCAATCAAAAACACACTATTTTGTAGCACAATGTTTTTTTTTAATGCACTTTGTTAAGCCTGTCGCAGTGACTTAATTAAGTCTAAATAAGTAAAAATTAAAGTCTTTCTTTCCAAGAAAACTGAACTTAAAACCACAATATAGGCTCATATATGGCCATTTTACACTTGAATGTACAAGACTTCCAGTTATTTTAGCTGTGCAAAACAGTTAATTATGCTGCTTGATGTCAAGGACTAGTATTGATCACATCTTAATTTATTATAATAAACACGTTATTTATCAATCAAAAACACACTATTTTGTAGCACAATGGTTTTTTTTAATGCACTTTGTTAAGCCTGTCGCAGTGACTTAAGTCTAAATAAGTAAAAATGAAAGTCTTTCTTTCCAAGAAAACTGAACTTAAAACCACAATATAGGCTCATATACTGAAACAAATACAATTTCAAGAGGTTTATCAAAGTTTGGTTGATTAGGGGAATATATCAATTAAATTTAAATAATTAAAACAGTAAATCCTTCCTACAAATAATTTACAAACAAAACAAAGTCCAAATACAGAATTTAGTAGTAAATGCTATAAAATAAAACTGGTACATATAAAAAATCTAGTTGCCTAGAAATGCGGTTCTAGGACTCTACTCTTGAAATGTCTCCATTATTGAAGGATTGTGCTACTCTGTTCTTTCACAGTGTCTCTACTCAATAATAAACAAGAGGTCATGGTGATGGGAAAGCACAGCAATTCAGTGCATGCCCCTTTTCCAGGATTTGTGCGTAGGACCTCAGGTTACCATCCCTGGGGCCTGAAGAAGTGTTCACATTGACATCAATCTGCAGTGACAAAGCGACCAGAACTCATTTGTTTTCAATGAGACCAGATGATTTTCAGCAGCACAGGTGTCAGTGACAGGACATGGCTGTGTCCAACAACACAACAAAATAGGCCCAAATACAGAATTTAGTAGTAAATGCTATAAAATAAAACTGGTACATATAAAAAAATCTAGTTGCCTAGAAATGCGGTTCTAGGACTCTACTCTTGAAATGTCTCCATTATTGAAGGATTGTGCTACTCTGTTCTTTCACAGTGTCTCTACTCAATAATAAACAAGAGGTCATGGTGATGGGAAAGCACAGCAATTCAGTGCATGCCCCTTTTCCAGGATTTGTGCGTAGGACCTCAGGTTACCATCCCTGGGGCCTGAAGAAGTGTTCACATTGACATCAATCTGCAGTGACAAAGCGACCAGAACTCATTTGTTTTCAATGAGACCAGATGATTTCCAGCAGCACAGGTGTCAGTGACAGGACATGGCTGTGTCCAACAACACAACAAAATAGATAGAAGATTAACTTTATGTGCAGTTACTCAATGCAATGAATACTAACAGGAATGTAGATAGTGGCGTTCCAGTGATCCATCTCTTGTGAGACACCAGCCAAGTGTCAGCAAGATGGAGCAGATAATGTTGATGTGAGTGATTTTACTGTCCTTTATGATTTATTTATACCCACATCAACAATAATAACACCATGGAAAACCGAGTCTGAGATTGTTGGCATTCTGAACAAGTTCGATTCATGAAATCTTGTTCATGATATGATGTACTATGCAGCACTGCAATTTTTGTGCAGTTTTTCTACAAATGCTTTCTTCTGCAGAATGTACATTTTTGAGGCAACAAAACTGATTCACAGTCAAAATGGAATGAAATTTTACTTTTTTTTCTGTTAATACAATTCATTTGAAATCAGATTTGTGTGGTTATGCAACCTACCAATAATGTCGGAGCACCCAACACAGTAACCTTGTGACCTCCAGCAATCAAATCGCTGTCAGTGTGAATGAGACATCATGTATAAATGATACAGAAGAGGTGACTGATTCACTGAATTGAACTCACAAGCAATAATGTATTTGTTTTTCATGGTCTGAGCAGTACAGAAGGTGGCTCAGCCTACGAAACTGGGCAGCTAAATCGATCAACAGGCCCACACAGAATCTGCGCCCGCACTGCACTCAGCTCAACAAAACTGATTCACAGTCAAAATGGAATGAAATGTTATTTTTTTTCTGTTAATACAATTCATTTGAAATCAGATTTGTGTGGTTATGCAACCTACCAATAATGTCGGAGCACCCAACACAGTAACCTTGTGACCTCCAGCAATCAAATCGCTGTCAGTGTGAATGAGACATCATGTATAAATGATACAGAAGAGGTGACTGATTCACTGAATTGAACTCACAAGCAATAATGTATTTGTTTTTCATGGTCTGAGCAGTACAGAAGGTGGCTCAGCCTACGAAACTGGGCAGCTAAATCGATCAACAGGCCCACACAGAATCTGCGCCCGCACTGCACTCAGCGGAGAGCTCAGCAGATTTATGAAAAACAACCGACACAAAGTTTTACATATTATCCACCATTTGCATCCCACA